ATGCGATCGCCATTGTTGGTGTTTCAAACTATTGGTGCTTAAAAAGAATCAGTTTTGACAATCCTATCCTTATCTTTTGTCCTGTTAGTTTCTCATTGAACTGTTTACCTAGATGGTATAGTCTTATCTTAGCAAATGATTCACAAACAACTTTAACCAGAAGATATGAATGGTTAATGATAACATCTATCATTGTGATAGATCATTAAGTGTTGGAAACAGATTCACATGTGAGAGATTGCACAGAACAGTAGATGAAACCAGAGACAAAATAAAATCTGATCTTGGAAGTTTATCACATGTAAACTTTAATAAATGCTTTAAACATTTTTCAGTCTCCTCATATATTTTAACACTTGAATATGCCTTTTCCAGACCTTCCCTGTCCCTCATAAGCATGAGCTTTTCCTTCTTTGTCAGACAATGCCTCTACACAACACAAGCAATCTAATCTTTTCCTAACCATTCGAACTACACACCCTGCAATATAGAACACTGCTGCCTCCTTGTAAGTTTGGTACCTCAGCATAATCATGCCCATTTATGGCTGGCTTTTGATATAAAAGGTCATATTTTCACATGATAGCGATATCTAAAAATGCAGTGACTGTGGGATGACCAGCTACAATATCAACATCTGGTAGCACAGTAGGAAGGTTTGTGTTGTCTGGGATGCAATTTACTATGCCTGCTATTATGTTGTGAGTCACAAGTAGCTTTTTATATGCAGCCATGAACTGCTGAGCAGTGGGGTTGTTATTGAAACCACACACGGATAGCTGAAAAGAACAACTCGAGGTGATCCTGACTCATTTTGTAGGTAATAAATACCTTAGACATGGACTTGAATCTCCCACAAGATCATGAAACACATGCTGAACACTTTCAATACACACAAAGAAACCAGTTTTCCTCCTACTTGTAACAATTGCTTTACCTGATTTGTCTTTCAAAGACATTATGTATTCCTTAGTTTCATCAAGTACTCCCATCCAGTTGTTAATGTTCGCTACACCCATTGGGGGCTTTGATTCCCTTTCCAAGAGGGTTTAAAACAAAGATGCCATAAAAATTGTTAAGAAATTTCACAGTCCCCTCTGAACTCTTGAAATGTGGAAGGTGCATTACCATGTCACAGTATTGTAATGCATTAGCAACACTTGAACTTATGACCTGAGCAGCAAGATTTACCTTCATTTTATTCTTTTTCCATTGTAAATGAATATATTTCAACTTATTGCCAAGCTGAAGTCCTTCAGTTTCCTGCAAGTTATGCTGCTCCTCAAT